TGAAAACAACAATGAAAAACAACAAGCTGCTACCTTGACGTGGTGGTCGGGCTTGCATATCACAATGACCCAACGAGCTATGCTGGTGGAACGCTTGTTCCCTCGAGGTCCTACCATACCAGAAAGGTCTGTTGGGTAGTGGTTAGACGAAAAGCAGTTACCGTTATAGTGTAAATTGCTACACTATGATGGGGGTCTGAGGGCGAAGTCGTACTGCTGCTAGCTGGATGGGGTGTGACAGCAGTAAGGTGTTTCCCTTGGATGACCAGCAGTGCCAAGCTGATGCTGCCTTCTCAGTGGAAGGGGGGGTTAGAAAAGGTCGGCCCCAAAAATAACACACTCCACCACGCCCCACGGTCTGCCGGGCCGGCGGTGTTGGTTCACTTGTCGTTTCCTTTCGACCATCCGGCCCCAAAAATACAAAAATTCAAAATAATCATACTCAAAAGGCTGGGTGTGACAGGCCTCAAGCAGATGTCCGATGGGCTCTGCGGTCACACAAATCTCTTTCAGGTACCTTAAGAAGAAATAGCCTTCCACGGTGTGGGCAGCCGGGAAGTGTCAACCGCCCTCACAACTCTGTCAGCACCCAAGTTTCTTCTGACTGCTATCCTCCTCCTCCATCATTACCTTCTAATCTTCCTTCACGTCTCTTAATTAATGATGCTGCATCATCTTCAATTTCTCCTACCTCTGCAGCCTTCGACAACGATCTGAGTCCACAGAACAGCATCCCTGGTCTCCTTAAACCACGCTCCAAATTACATATTGGAGCCTTCAATGTCCGCACCCTCCGTCAAATTGGCCAACAGGCTTCGTTGGCAAAGACTCTAGCAACTCGGGCATGGATGTGTGCTGTGTTTGTGAGACACGCATACAGGACCCAAGTGTGGTTATTCACCTGACCTCTCCTGACCAATCTGGTGAATCTGCAAAATTCACCCTTCGAGTTTCTGGAGATTCGATAGCTAGCTCTCGTGGTCTTGCAGGTGTAGGTATAGCATTAAGCACCAGGGCAGAAAACTCACTACTAGACTGGATCCCAGTTGATAGTCGCCTCTGCGCTATGAGGCTGAACGGCACAGTGAGAACTAAAAGGAATAGTGAGACTCGCCGTTGTCTCTTTGTAATCTCTGCTTACGCACCCACTGACTGTAGTTCGGATGAAGTGAAGGACGAGTTCTACCATAAACTGTCTAACCTCCTCTCGAAAGCCAAACGTTCGGACGTAGTGGTTGTTGCAGGTGACCTCAACGCACAGGTGGGTAGACTGAGTGAGGCAGAAAGGCACTTAGGTGGCACTTTCGGAATCCCAGCTGAACGTACAGATAACGGTGATCGCCTATTACAACTATGCTCAGATAACCGCCTATTTTTAGCCAGCACAAATTTCAGACATAAAGAAAGGCACTGTCTGACCTGGCGTCCACCGAGCTCGACTCAGCGATGGACACAGATAGACCACATTGCTATTAGTCATCGCTGGAGAGGATCGGTGGAAGACTGCCGCTCCTTCTGGAGTACGTGTTTGGACAGCGATCATGCGTTGGTCCGAGCACGTATATGCCTGCGTCTCAATGGACGTAGAAAAAATTTGGCAACAAAACCACTACGAGTTCTGCTGGACAACGAAAACACCAAAGCCGTGTTCAGTGAGAAGTTGGCTAGGCAGTTATCGGAACAAAAGACTGTCACTCATCCAGAAGAAGCTTGGTGCCATCTTCAGTCTACTGTAAAAGCAGCACTGGAGACTGTAGCCGACTCCAAGATAATGGCTAAAAAGAGCCAGTGGATATCAGCAGCTTCTTCCAAACTAATGGATGCACGTGAATGCATCCCTGCAGGCTCTGAGTACAATGAAGAGCGAGCGCAACTTAAAAATAAACTGACGAAAAGTCTGCGCAACGATCGTGAACAGTGGTGGGCAGCAAAGGCTAAAGAGATGGAAAAGGCAGCGGCGATCGGTAACAGTTATTTAGACTTATTAAGGAGACTGGGGGGAAATGGTCAACAACAGTTAGTGAGGTTATAGCGGAGAAGGACGGATCGGCGATTCACTCGCAGGGAAGGCGACTGGGACGATGGGCAGAACACTTTGAGGAACAGTTTAACTGGCCTCCAGCCACCATTGCGCTGCCCGCTATCCAGTCGGACCCTGAATGGGACATAGAGACAGGTCCCCCAACACTAGAAGAAGTTGAGAAAGCGGTAGGTAGCCTGAAACGGGGAAGGGCAGCAGGACCAGACGGACTACCTGCTGAGGTATACAAGAATGGTGGTAGAGTTCTCTTAGTCAGGCTAACGGAAGTGTTAGCCAGTATATGGGAATCAAATACGATCCCCTCCGACTGGTCTAAGTCACTCATCATCCCAGTCTTCAAGAAAGGCGAGAAGTCCTCTTGTGATAACCACAGAGGAATCAGCCTGACAAACATAGTGTCTAAGATCCTAAGTTCTATAATTCTCCGACGCCTGAGTGGAGCTCGGGAACAGCAAGCCCGAGAAAACCAGGCAGGCTTTAGACCTGGCCGTGGATGTATCGACCAAATATTCACACTGCGCCAGGTCCTGGAACATAGGCATGCTTACAGACGCCCGACAATAGCTGTATTTCTCGACCTGAAGGCGGCATTTGACTCCGTTGATCGAGAAGTCTTATGGCAGTGTCTGTCACTGAAAGGCGTGCCTAGTAAGTACATCACCTTATTGAAAGCTCTCTACTCGAACACTTGTGGGCATGTTAGAGCCTATGGTGAGTTGTCCAGGGAGCTATACTCATCAAGTGGTGTCCGTCAAGGATGCCCACTATCCCCATTCTTATTTAATTTTATCATAGATATTCTTATGGAGGTTTCCCTCTCGTCACCTAATTACAAAGACGTTGACCGATCACAGGTGAATTTTCCTTAGATCTAGAATATGCAGATGACATAGTCCTGTTAGGTGAAGACGCTGACAAGATGCAGAGTCTTCTGAACACTTTGAGTGGGAATTTGAGAATGTTTGGGATGCGATTTTCACCACCCAAATGCAAATTTTTGCTCCAGGACTGGTCTTCAGCGGTACCGCGGTTAACAATAGAGAGTGAAGTGGTTGAGTGTGTTGACCACTTCACTTACCTGGGAAGTAGGATCAACTCCGGTGGGTTAGTTGCCGATGAGATTTCTGCACGGATACAAAAGGCTCGATTGGCTTTTGCCAATTTGCGCCACCTATGGCGCCGCCGTGATATTCGTTTGTCTATTAAGGGTCGCGTGTACTGCACAGCAGTCCGCTCTGTTCTACTGTATGGCTGTGAAACATGGCCATTGAAAGTGGAAGACACAAAAAGGTTTCAGGTGTTTGACCACCGTTGCCTTCGTAGTATAGGACGTATTCCGTGGTGTCACCATGTGAGTAATGCAGAAGTTAGGTGTAGAGTTTTGGGAAGAAGAGGTAAGTCAGTCGACGAGGTTGTGAACCTTCATCGACTGAGATGGTTGGGACACGTACTACGTATGCCTAGTCACCGATTGCCTCGTCACACAATGTTGGCTGAGGTGGGTTCAGGCTGGAAAAAGGCCCGAGGTGGCCAGACTAAAACATGGCACCAATGTATGAAGTCTCTGACTGTTGGTTTAAGCCATGTAGGACGATGCAGACTAGGTGGTTGGGGTCCACGGGACAAGAGGAACCAGTGGTTGGAGACCCTAGGTGATATGGCTCAGAACCGAAGTCAGTGGCGCAGATGTATACACACATTATCCTCATCTTAACAACGCTATACCGAATCTCACTATTTTGTCACTCCTCTTTCCTTTCTTCTCGTACTTTATATTTCTTTTGACTGCATTCACTTATCTTCATCCTTCACCTCACTACCTTTTTACTTGATGTGCTGATATGAGGTGTGGCAACTCGGACCGTTACGCAGTAATGCCTGGTCCTATGTTGATAATGATGATGATGATGTTTTCAATCAACGCAGACAATGATGATCATAAATCGGAGTAGGTTCAAAGTTGTAAGAGGTTGTCAAGAAGCATAGGAAACAAAGACATAATCCGGAATCTACTCAGAAAGAAAACAGTCATACATCAACTAAGAGCAAATTTATCAAATCAGTCAAGAAGAATGCATAGAATGACAGTAATAAACAGTAAAATTTCATTCTAACAATGATTCTATACCAGCCTGACAACAAGAGTTTAAGGTCAAAGAAGTTATGGTGTGATAAAAATCTCTTCCACAATTCACTATGAAGCAACACTCAAGGTCACTAAGAACACTTTCTAAACACTTCTTTATGAAATCACTACTGAGGTAATCAACAAGCCTGATTGATGATGAAAGGTCTAAGACAAGATATCAAAACTTAGAGAGCACTAAACTATTCTCATCCTGAATAGTAAATCGTTATCTGTCATTACATAATAATTTACCCACTGAAATCTGTTTCACTGGTATACTAATTGATGGAGATTATGAACTTTTTAAAAGAGAAGTATGTTTTTTAGTGGATTTGAAATCAAGATTTTCTTGTTGACAATCATTAACTACACAAAATGAAACATAATGCATCACAGTATCTAATCAGTTAACTTTCTATCTATCATATTACTTCCTAGTGTGTAAAAGCTTAGTAACACTCATGATAAATTTATTTACTGTATTATACTTGTAATTCCCGGTTCTCATACAAAGTTGAATTGTTTAACCTTTGTTAGCTAGTCACCTCTAGTTACCAAAATGGATAAATTTACTAACTTATAGGAGAGAACATAAAGGAACTAATATGTCTGAGGTTTTATCTCTCAATTGGTCACCTAGTTAACTGTCCGATATCAAAGACCATAAGTCAAGACATGTAGTCAGCTTGACTACATTACTAAGAAGTTTATAGTATGACTACTATATAATAAAATGTGCATAACCAATTATTTGAGTAATTTTTAAGCGTCAAAGTTATTATTTAACAATTTGAATCTTATTACAAAGTAAATATTCTTTTTTATTTTAAGATTCCGAGTATTCCAATGACTCGTATCAGTAAACCATTTTATGGAGAAACTCAATTTCATGCAGATTTTCCTCCAGAACGTGCATGGAATAATGTAGGTCAAATGTGTTCGATTATAAAACAACCGTGTCAACCACCAAAAACTCAAATTCAATTATATGAAACAAATGAACATTATTTTCATACTGAACAACGTGATCGTTTTCAAGGTCATGATGCTAAGGTTAGTAAACCTTTTTCTCCTATTTTATCCCATTCTTTCTATATTATACATTAATGATACATCATATCACGCTTTATTTCATTTAAATCTGTGAATGTCTAGATTATGCTTACTACATACTGACTACTAGTTTCTTGGAAGACTAGCACTTCAAAATAATAAAGATCCAGATAATTTATACTGCTACAAAAATCTGTTGTTTTGTACTTCTGATTCGATTCTGTAAATATAAACATCCTCTATGTCAGGTGAAATATTTTTATCCAAATTTTGTAAGATATTTCTGATTATTATTAATCTTTCTTTCATCCATGGATTCCAATCATGTTCAACATCCTAATGTTTATTTAAACTGTCAACATTTCCATGTTATTGATGATTCCAACGGAGTGAATAAGTATTCAGAAGTTACGAGTCTATGAATGAATGAGGAAATATCGTTCGTGTTAATAGAGTTTATTCTCATATTAGTTTTTTAAAATAAAATATGCCATCAATCTGGGTCTATTTGCATTTAATACATCACCATAGTCTGTGTCAACGTTTAGTAAAGGTCTTGCAGACATGAAGGTATGCTTTGGGAGTCGACAACATGTCTACCTATTATTGATCTTGGTGATCGGCAGAAGAATCCAGGATGCGAGTCTCGTTTTATTCAGGACTTTTCAGCTGAATGTACCTGCACCTAAATGAGTGATCCTGATGCTCAAGCTCAATACGCATAGCTTCAAAAGCCAAAGTATTATCCACTAAGCAACTAGGGTGTGAAAGCCACCCCCGTGCAACAGGTATCAGTTGTTTTCAGGATACTTTCAATTTCCCGTCGCTATACAGGGTCTAATTGCTCGACCATATGGAACGAAACAAGCATCCTAGATTCCACTGATAGTCACCAAGATGAATACGACATCACGAATATCTGGCAGTATCGAGGCATCCGCATAGAAGTCCATCTGCCAACAGAGGTCAAGCAATTCGACCCAGTTAACAATGGGAATTCATAAGTATCATAACAATATCTACCTTTTATTACAGAGATCATTATGATTGGTGAGTTTCGATCTACGAAACTTTTACATACCAACCTCTTCGAAATCACCAACTATTCATACGATTGATGGCCAATTCAATCTTGTCCAAACAACACTCATGAATAACAGACATTGATGAAACCACCTGATATGCCTGTGGTTTCGCAGACTAATGCTAGTGATACCGAGTGATGATTGGAAGAGAAGTGAAAAGCTGAGTCGAGGTAGGATTACGATGAGCTTACCTTCGGTCACTAGTCCGCTGTCCTACCGACTGAGCTAACAGACCCAGCTGCTAGTCAGATCTTCACTTCAGTTACCAAGAGGTTTTGCCTAACTGCTTTGTGGATCCGTGATTCACTATTGTAATGGGCGCTGCAGATCGGAATGGATATAAGTAGTATATGTTGAGAGGGCGGCTGAAATCATAGGCAATTACCAGCAATGGGTAAAGATTCTGCTCAAAGAAACGCAAGAAACAATGTGAACTTACTAAGGGCAAACCAAGATAGAAGCAAAAGAGGAAATGAAGCACATTGTGCAAATGACTTTCTTAGTGCAAGGTGTACAATATTTGATGACTACTGCACAAGATGTCAATCATAAACATTCCTTCCTTCGTCTCAGTCTTCTCGTTTCTTTCAATTGGTGTCACTGCTTCTGGACGTAATGAAGATTCTGTGGCCTGAAGTAGTCGAGGATGGAGACATCAAGATCTTCCTCAGGGACTTCGAGCCGGTCGTGGACCTAGTGGGTGTCCGGGATCCAGGAGCGGTCGTGGTGCTTGGCATGTTCCTAAGTGGTACAGAGAAGGCGGCATATGACGACGTGGAACGTGTGGATGGGAAGGAGACTTAGAAGAGAATGGTTGAACGCCTTGATGTGGAGTCTGACAGCCCAGCGGACAGAAAACCGGGGAAGCAGCAATACCGGAGCACGAGACTTGGAATACATGAAGACCCGATGGTATTGGCTATGAAGTCGACAAAATTACTTCGACGAGCACTTCCTGCATTGTCTCTTACATTTCTCTGGGAAGAATCTTTACCCATTGCTGGTAATTCCCTATGATTTATGTCATCCTCTCAAAATATACAACTTATATCCATTCTGGTCTGCAATGCCCACTACACTATCCGTTCATCTAACAAACATAGATAGATTACTAGGAATAAAATTTCTTCATGTATCTTGATTAATTTATAGGCTAATCCGAAGCCTAAATCATGTAAACATGAAACACCAGCTTACACCAAACCAACTGTAAAACTTGACTGTGACTCGGTGACTAAACTGGACTACCAACCGTATACAACTGAACAAATTCTCAGTGTGAACCCGAAAGTAAGTGACTTTTGGCCTTGTTTTGCTTTTCTCGCTACACTTTATTTTTTATACTTATTTCAATACATTTCCCGAGCTTAAGGTTATTCAGAGAGAAACTTTGTAGGCAGATACATCCGGTAAATGCAATCCAGCAAAGCAACTTATTACTATTATTCGTCCCTTGGATTCCTAGTCGAACATAGCGCCTCAGTAGCACGTCTCCACTCCACTCTCTTCTCTGCAATCTTCAAAACCTACCTCCACGACTGCCTACAAGCTCTCATTTATTCCTCACACCATCTCCTCCATGTCACATACCCACTCGAACACCCTACTCGTCGTTTCCCATCTCGCTTCCAATCAACTGCCTGGCCTGACCTGGTGCGTGATGTCCCCGAATGGTCTTCTCACTGCATGCCCAATCCATCTCCACTTCCTTCCACTGCATATTTGTTCACCGATACGTTCTAGGTTGGTTCGTTGCCAGCCACCCAGCAAGAGTTCCTCCTTGCTTATTATTTCTGGTCATCTGAGCTTCAGTAATCAGCCAGCGTAGGCACCTGTGGATGAATGTCTGTGGTTTGTTAGAAATGCATTTCGTAATGCGTCAAGCCTCTCAACCATATACAACCACTGACTTGACTGACATTGGTGTTGAAAATCTGGATGTTGTTCAGGCATTTTGCTGAGTGCAGAAGATCTCCACACTAGTTTCAGGTTAATCAACGCCTGTCTTGTTGTCTTTCCAATCCTGGATGGCTTTGAAGTCCTGGTCTGTGCCTGTGCCGCCTGTAGTTGTAACGATACTGCCTAGGTATGTAGGTAGGTGAAAGAGGATACTTCCTTTAAGTTCCTCCTGTTGATAGTGAATGGAGCTCATTGTTGTTGTTGTTGTTGGCGGTGGTGGTGGTCGTGTTGGTTGGGTATCATCGCCATAACTGTCTTCTCTACGTTCACCCGAAAGAAGTCCTGTCTTCCTTCACTACCTCGCCTCTCCTCTTCTGTCAACTTGTTAGTTTTCGCCTGTACATCTTGAAGTTTGTGACATTAGACACAAGTCATCGGCGGCGAAATCCAAATCTTCTAGGATCTTTTCCTCAGTCCAGCCAGCCTACCCCCGTCTTCTCGCTCCCCACAGTTTGCTGCATGACCCAGTCCACTACAATCAGGAATATCATGGGTGATATATTAGGCAGCCTTATTTTACTCCTGTCTTCACTTTGCTTCAAAGGCATCACTGAGCTTCCCACTGTGGATCACTTCGCATGAGGCGTCTTCATGTAGCTGTTGAGTGAGGTTGATAAAGGTTTGTGGTATTCCGTATTGTTGAAGCAACTGCCAAATTACTTCTAGGTCGACGCTGTCAAAGGCCTTTTCAAAGTCGATGAAGTTGAGGTAGAGTTAATTTGACTGTCATTCTGTTCTCTGTTCTAAGATGATGCGAAGCGTTGCAATTTGGTTTGCACATGATTTGTACTTCCTCAATCCAACCTATTCCGGCACAGTAACTTAATCTATCAAATATTATGTAATGATTGTGGTGACTTAGATTAGTCAGAATAGCAAAGCACAAAAATTTCGCTATATCTCTATGCATACTAACCCATAGGATGACAATTATTAAGTCTAAAATATGGCTAGATGACCTCTGGAATAGTTCAATTTAACTTTGTAAATTACTTTAAAGGATGAATCTCGAGGTACTGAATGAACTAATCGTACTAGGTGTTCACACATGGATGAAATCATCTTTCTTCACTCACCTTTGGTAAGTCAAACCTGGTAATGTTCAGACAGCCCACTTTATCGATATAAAATTATCATCCAGCACAATAATCCCAAAAGATTTGAATCCGAGGCTAACTAACAGTGTAAATGATATTTCATGGAACCTAAACAGTAGCTTTGATTACTTTGTCAACAGAATTGAAGCCTAGATTGATAATTACCATAAGAATTACCTTCAGCTATGTACAACAGTATTGACAACTAAATTAATAATGTATAGTAGTCAATAATTTGACTAAATACTTTCCAGTGCTTGAATCCTATTCCTATGTGAACATATCAATGATTAAGATTCTAGTCTTAATAAAACGTTTAAATGATTTTTTTGATGTTACTTCATCGGTAATGCAGTTGCAAAAATCAACAGTTTTCAAATAAAATTACTGATGGATTTTGACGACTGCTACATTAATAATTTGTCTCATGAAACTGTGATCAAGAAGGAGAAACTACCTCTTAGAATAAGACTCATGATGATTTCAATCACCAGTAAGAAAAAAGTACTGGATAATGAACTCCATGAAGTTTTCTTTTAAAAAGATAGTATATTGCATTGCCATCCATAGAAATCATATTCATTACTCATAGTATTGCCAAACATTGTAATAGTAATGAAGACCTAACCGTGAGTGGTTTTAGCGAAATAACTCGATGAAAATAGTTTCAGTACTTTAGGCATGTTTATTTGCAACAGAAAAAGTTTGACATAGTTGAAAGAACATAATAGAGTCTACTTATGCAAACATCTGGCAAAACGCTAATAGCTAAATTTCACATATGAACCCTTATTTAGAGATAATCCGAATGGTTTCAAAGATAAGCATGAAGAATCTATCCTGCATGGTTATTCAGAACTATAATATCCAAGAACATCAAAGTAATGTGTACCGCTACGTAGAATAGACAGATAAATCAAGGTAGAGCCTAATAGAAAAGTGTATAAAGTTGAAGTGCTACACTTCCCAGAAGTATTCAAAGAGGAAGTGAATAGAAAAAGTGGTGTTAGGGTAGATAAATGTATACTAAATGAAACAGAATAAATCAATCGATGGACGTTAACAAGCTTTCCAAATCGTCCTCAGAAGCCTAATCAAGAAGTCTACACCTCCACATATGATGTATACTAAGAGTTGAAAACTTCATGGATTAATGTTAAAACTTGGTCTGACCACTTTTATTCTCTAGCTAACTAAATTATACATCAGTAAACATTATATGACGAGGTAGACAGTGAAATGCTATGTACAATGCATATTGAAGTTAGCCCAGTCAGTGAAAGTTAGCAACACACATCCATCCTCAACCTATTGAACGCAAAATATGAGCTACAATTAATGTTGCCTTCCAGTTTGACTATGAAATACAATGTAAACAGACTTGGTTAACGAACAAAATACAAGTGAAATGCATATCCTTGGATTCATTGCTAGACATCACATTAAACAAATAATATTAAATTAGAAGTAGTGTTCATCATGGACTGACATCAGTTGGGGAACCATTGAAAATCTACGAGCACTGGACACCGGCTTCGTCCTAGTATGGGACTCCTCAGCAGTGCACACCCACCACCCGGATAGACATCGAAATCAGGACCCTCAGGTTTCATGGTGAACGCGTTAACCATTCAGCCACTGGGGTCGGTTTCCAGTCGTTCACAATTTCCAACTTTGTCAATTCACGACATAGCGTGGCGATCATCCAAGGTCTTCAGTTAGCATCCACTTCACTTCCGACTGGTTGACCCCACAGGTCAAGGCTTCTCATTAGAGCTTCGTGATATCCATGTGGAAGCAAGTCAGTGTTTGAATGGTTAACGCGTTCACCGTGAAACCTGAAGGTCCTGAGTTCAATGCCTAGCCGGGTGGTGGGTGCATACTGGTGAGGAGTCCCATACTAAGACAGAACAGCTGTCAAGTGCTCCCAGATTTTCAATGGTTCCCCAACTGATGTCAGTCCATAATGAATACTACTTCTAAATTAAAAATCCCCATTCATCTCAAAAATAAATAACATTAAAGGAAAATATTTATCATGATTCTTTTTCTAAATAAATATCACAGTTAAAACTCATTTATTAATTGGCAATCTGTTTGATTTAATTCATTCCAGTTCAACTATGGTCGAAAAACAATTAAGAATGGTGATGAACAACACGTTAAACTTAAGCCAGAAGAAGTGAAATTATTGAAAAAGTATTTAAATGACTTGAAATTAGCAAAGAACCAACAATTACCAAAAATTTAGATATATCACCCTTCTACCTAAGTAATAATAATGACAATAATAGTAATGTATATGGTATTATTCGATCATTTTGTAACAACGAAAAACTGATCTACTTGACATATGTCTAAATATAGTTTATACAAGCTAATTTAACCTAGTTGCATTTCTTATGATACAAGTTTGAATCTTGGTTGTATTGTGTTCGCTGAGCTGGCTGAGCTGTTTAATCCTGAAGGTTTCATCGTCCTTCTAGACAGAGAAAGCATCCATAGCACTAACTTCAGCATGAAGTGGGTGAGCTGTCAATATCTCTCCATGAGTGATTTTAGCAGCTTGCCTTGATGAAGTGGTCTGTGATTGGTTGTTTCCTTTGATTGTTATGTCACTAACTGCATAGATTTTCCTGTTGGCTGCCTTTTTGTTCCATGACCTCTAACCCTGTTCCTCATCACTACTGATTTCTGACCAACCTGAATGCCAAGCTTCTAAGAATTCTCTGATATCCTTTGTGTTTCCTCTCTTCGTCCAAAATTTCTACATTGTCGAAATTGAATTCATGTCCATAGTTGTTATCCACGTGCATTGAGCGATGAGTGATGAAATGTCGTGTGTGACATTTAATAGCCAATTTTTCATGTCGACGAAGGGGAAGAGGGCGACCTTCGTCTACATGAACACCAGTTGGCTACCAAACGTCACAACATTTCATCACTCGTTTCAATGCACGTGGATAACAACTATAGACATGAATTCAATTTTGACAATGTAGAAATTTTGGACTGAAAGAGGAAACATGAAGAATATCAGAGAATTCCTAGAAGCTTGGCATTCAGGTCAGTCAGTCAGCAATCAACAGATGTATAGACATGAAAGACCCTATCTATCAACCAATAAGAAGAATGATAAACGACAGAAAAGTCAGAGGTCAAGCAGAGGGACAGCCAACAGGAAAATCTATACAGCCAGTGATACAATAATCAAGGGAAACAACCAATCACAGACCACTTCGTCAAGGCAAGCTACTAAATCACTCATGGAGAGATATTGACAGCTCACTCACTTCATGCTGAAGTTAGTGCTGATGATATCGTCTAGAGGAACGATGAAAACTTCACGATTAAACAACCCAGTCAGCTCAGAAAATACAATACAACCAAGACCATCCAACTCAGCTACAAATATTCTCCACTATTTCAAAGTTTGAATCTTCAATAAACAGGAAGAATTTTCTCGTGATAACAGTTATGCATTGCTGATAAATGTCAGTAAGCTTGGTAAACTTGGTTTCACAGCTTCTCTGTCAATTGACTGTTAATACTGATTATATGCATTTTAGATGAAAAAATTTGAGATGAAGTTAGTATAATTGTTTTTATATGATACCGTCGTTGATTAGACCGAATTAATCGGTCTCTATTGGAATATGGGCTTCTGTGCCGATGCACCTCACTGATACTTGAACCCAGTACCCATCACTTCAAACGTCAAACAGCTATCCACTATGCCACTGATGCACGACAGTCAACTCTTGTGCAGTTAGTATCAGGTAAATTCAGCTGACGAGTCCCAAAATGGGACAGAACGCACCTCCTGCATTCCACCAAGCAGATTATAACATAATGAGTAATCAAACAACATCGAGGCATCTGCAAAGAAGTTAATCTACCAACAAAAGTGGAGCGATCCGACTCGGAACAACAACAGGAAATTACAAGTACGAAACAACACCTGATACCCGTTTCCCAATATGGTGACAGGAGATTACAAGTATCAAAGAACTAGGTGAATCCAATATTCTCGTCAAAAAATACTCTGCCGACAGTCTCCTCATTGGAACTGTAAGCAGTTTGTTTCAAAGTCAGTCACTAGTAAGTGATTCGGAATCTAATCAGTACACAAAATTTGAATTGTAACTTGCAACAATAAATCTACAGGCGAGTAACTTAGCATTTTCTTAAAACATTCTGAAATTATCAGATAAAACTGTGAATATGAAGCAAATACCGATAGGGCATAAGTATGGCTGTGTTTCTGTTGAGTGAAGATTTATAATTATGCCTCCCAACGATGCAGTACCTGTGACCTTCTTGAAAGAAAACTTAAGACTCTGTAGAGTTACTCCGTCACCTGTGTACCATCACGCATAACAATACTTTCGTACACATAATATTCTGTGTAAGTCGTTACAGAACCCAGTGAAGATTTTGTCCGTCGGTCAATCAGAAGTTTCATCGTGATCCATTCATATATGACAACTGTGATATCCTTCACTAGCCTTCCTGAGATGTATTTTTATAAGAGCATTTCTAAGTTTCTCAACATACTCAGCTTTCTTTGTAAGAGTTGGCGTTTCTACCAAAACCAACTTTTCAACCCTTATTGGGAGATTTTTCGTCATTTATAGTTACCTTAATCATAACCTAAACAAAAGTCACTTCCCTCATCAATAGCCAACACCTCAAGATAGAAGCCGAGTGATATGATTAACATTGAAACTATATTATGAAGAAAACCTGATGTTTATTAGCTATGAACACTGTAGATAATGAAAACAGCCAAAATACAATAAAATTAGTTCTAAATAATAGTAATGAACGTCAAAACTAGGATCGGAAAAGCAAGACAGACCTTCAATAATCTGAAATAAGTGTGGAGATCTATTGCACTGCACTCCCCTCCACTCAGCATAAAGCGTGAACAAGATCCGAATCTTAAACACTAATGTCAGTCAAGTCAGCATTCATATATGATGGTTAAGAAACTTGGCGCATCACAAAAAGCATTTCCAACAAACTGCAGATATATGTTATCAACAGCCATCATCTACGCTCACTCTATTCTGAAGATCACATAGCCAGAATAGTAAGAATAAGCAACAAGGAACTCTGGCTAGCTGGCAATGAACCAACCAACAACCCGTTGTCCAACAGATATGCAGAAGAAAGTGGAGATGAATTAGATTGACCATACACTAAAAAGACCATTCAGGGACATCACGAGTCAGGCCAAGACATCAAGTAGAGTTCAAGAGGGGAAACGAGTTGGGCGTCCCAGCTGAGGGTGACATGGAGGAGATGGTGTGAGGAAGAAATGAAAGCTTCTGGGCAATCATAGACCCAGGTTCAAAAGATTGCAGAGAAGAGAATGAAATAGCGACGTGCTACTAAAGCCCTGTGTTCCACTAGGAACCTAGATTTAAGGCTTAGAGAAAAGTGTAGCGTCAAAACATATCACTATGGCATACTTTGATTGAGGTATATATATATATATATATATATATATATATATATATATATATATATATATATATATATATATATATATATATATATATATATATGAGACGTTAAGAACATCAAATACAAAGATAAACGCAGTACCCTAAGGTGTACTTCCATTGACATTAAGTTTACCTTTAGTTGTACACCTTTTACTGACAGAATGAACAAGACACTGTAATTAGCTGATGGAGAATATTTGTAGCTCAGAAGGATAATTTTGATGTTATGTTCTCTGAACTCAGCTCAGAAATATAAACTTCAGAGGGTTAGAAGAGTGATCCACCTGATTGAAAATGTATCAATCGTATTATCTGGTACAAATATTGGTTGGAAAGTAATTGGATGATTATGCATAACCTAAGCGACTTTCTAGCTCATTGTCTCAGATATTCTGTAGTGATTTGTCACACTAAACATCCGTAAACACACATATTAAGTAAAACACAAACTTTAAGTCAGTATGAATTGCTGTGTTGACAGTGATTATATCCCGTTGAAATGCTGGACATCTGTTGGCCGATGGGCTCCTCTATACAGATGCGGTGATACTGTTGGATATTCATCATGTTGTATTTGTAGTGGAAGTTAGGACGCACGTCCCGTCCTATATGCTGCTCGTCAGTTGGAAGTACGTGAACTAAAGTGAGTCATGCTGTATCCGATTGGATACTGAGCTTTAGTCTCAATGGGAACAACATGACTCACTGGGGTGCATATGCATCTAGCTGACGAGTTCCAAACAAGAAGAAACAAGCGTTTTCGACTCTACTGGGATTCACCAAGATGAATACAACGATAAAGAATCGTTATCTAATTTCATTAAAATCAACAATCCGATACAGACTTCCTACTATACCTCTTAGGAAAGCTCAATGGTCTGGGTAGTTGACTTTCAACCAGTAATACATAGGTCCGAACACCGCTCCTCCATTTATAAACATTTAAGCACCCAGTTAGCAGTATTATTAGCCTTCATACTATACGTGTATGGCTTATCGCCTACATAAATGATTGTGCGTACAAAGCTGATAAATGAATTTCGACTTACAAAGTTGATTAATTACACAAGTTGACGATACCACTAATACAGGAAGAAAGTATCAAATACGAAAAAAAAACTTGAAAAAAAAGGTTAAAAATGCACAGAAATAGTTTTTTTTTTGTTTTGTTTTCTCAAAAGGATACCGTATAAGAAAAATTTCAGACAAAATAGTTATGCAAACATAAACAAATAAAAAAACAAACAATACAATACACTTCAAACGAAAATTAAGTTGAACAAGAACAAGAACAATAATCTATGAAAATAAACAATAGACAAAATGAAGAGATACACACACACACACACAAACAAACAAATGTCAGTTGCTTTTGATAAAATGATCAAAGAGAAAAATGTAGCCATCATTAAAGAAAATTGAAAATAGGTCACGAAAGAATATATTTTAAAAAAAAGTGATACACCTAAGAAGTGTTGAGAACAGGTAATAAGTAGTATACTTATCAGTATTATAAAATGCAAAAAGGAATTTTTATTATGCATCTATCTAACACAGTGGTAGTATCTACGTGTACATTTTCATTTGTGTTATGAGTGAGTGAGTGAGTGAGTGAGTGAAGGTGTACAATATCAGTTTATTCCCTCTTTTTATTTCTTGCGTTTTTCACGAGAATCTTGAATTCTCTGTTTCAATTCTTCTTCTGAATAAACAGGACCTAAAGTTTATTTGTTTGTTTTTAAAGAAAAGAAATCTTACATTAAATATAATATTATCTATGGAAATGATACAAAAGATTTATAGTTCAATATGAAGACGATGACAACTGTTTCATATTCCCTGAGTTTTGATACCTTTTTTTTTCTTCAAAAAATCATGGATGTTTCATTACAAGGCTTGGTAATATCTTCATCACTAACTTTCTAAAGAAGTTAGTTTGTGCATGCTGAAGAGGTCATCAAGTTTAGGGATGAAATATTGAAGAACTCATAACCATCATTATCATTATCATCATATTGAGCTACAAATCTTTTCCATCATTTTAAAAGAAAAATTGAGTTTTATTCAAATGTTATAAAGATAATACTATACCGCCAAACTTTTCTTTATGAGAAAATAAGACTTTCTTCTAGTATTATTATTACATATTATTATTTATCCCTTGGGTTCCTAGTGGAACATAGGGCTTCAATAGCACGTCTCTCTTCTCTGTAATCTTTTCAACCTGCCACAATGACTGCCCACAAGCTCTCATTTCTTCTTCACACAATCTCCTCCATGTTACATACACCTTTCGGACGCCCAACTCACCGTTTCCCATCTGGATTCCACTCAACTGCCTGGCCTAACCTGGCGCGTAATGTCCCTGAATGGTCTTCTTCAGTGTATGCCCAATCCATCTCCACTTTCTTCCACTGCATATTTGTTGACCGATAGCTTCTTAGTTGGTTCGTCCCCACAGTTCCTTGTTGCTATATTTGTAGTTTGTTGGAAATGCTCTTCGTAACGCGTGAAGTCTCTTAACCATCACACAGAAGCACTAACTTGACTGATATTAGTGTTGAATATCTAGATCTTCTTCTTTATGCTGAGTGCAGTGCAGTGCAGAAGATCTCCACAATGGTTTCAGGTTAATCAACGCCTGTCTTGTTGTCTTTCCAATCCTGGATGGATTTGAAGTCCTCGTCTGTGCCTGTGCCGCCTGTAGTTGAAACGATGCTGTCTGGAAAGGTAGGTAGGTGAAAGAGGATACTTCCTTTAAGTTTCTCCCGTTGATGGTGATTGGAGCTTGTTGGTGGTGGTGGTGGCGTCGGTCGGGTATTTTCACCACCTCTGTCTTCTCTACGTTCACCTGAAGGAAGTTCCGTCTTCGTTCACTACCTCGCCTCTCCTCTTCTGCCAACTTGTTAGTTTTCGCCTGGAGAACTTCGAGTTTGTGTGACAAGACACTAGACATAAATCATCATGGACAAAATCCAAATCATCTTCTGGGGTCTTTTCATCAATCCAGCCAGCGCATGCTCATCTTCTCACAGCTGCTCACGGTTTGTTGCATAATCCAGTCCAGTCGACCACAATCAGGAAGATCATCAATGATAGTAGGCGGCAACCTTGTCTTACTCCTGTCTCCACTTCAAAAGCAGCATTCAGCTTCCTATTGTAAATTGCTTCGCATGTGGCGTCTTCATATAGTTGTTGAACGAAATTGATAACGGTTTGTAGCACTAAAACCGTAGTGATGAAGCAGTTGCCTGCCAAATTACTTCTCGGTCGACTCTGTCGAAGGACTTTTCGATGTCGATAAAGTTGAGGTAGAGAATTGACTGCCATTCTACACTCTGTTCTATGATGATGCGTAGCATTTCAATTTGGTCCGTACATGATTTGTACTTTTCTTGGGGTCGATAAAAGCATGATTCTACGCCAGTTCTTGCAAACACTTAGGTCATCCTTCTTCAGGAGTTTGACAAGGAAGCCTTTCTTTCAATTAATCCTTAGGTATCATTCCTTCCTTTCAGACCTTCTATAACAGTGGTGTGAGCATGTCTTCTAGTATACAATTACTTTAATTACTTCAGATTAAAATACTCTTACATATGTAAAAAAAGAAAAAAAAGGAGGAGGAGGAGAAAAGAATGAATTACTCACCAATACTTTGAGTTTTTTTACCATGTAGACGATTTAGTAAAGGAGGTGAACAAGTAGTATGAATATTACGGAAACGTATAATATTATTTATTGAATTCATATCAGTATTTATGTAACATGAATTTGTATGAATAAGTGTATTAGTAGAATGATCAATTTCTGTAGAATTTTCATTTGATAAATATTTTATGTTTTTATTTATAACATAATTATTAATTTTGATATGTTTATCAAAGTCAATATAATTATCATTAGACATAGAATAATTTGTATCTAAACAACAGCATAAATAGATGATACCACTGAACATAATAATTGGTACACCAAGTATCAATAATGCCATCAATGGTCGATTTAGAAGAAATTTCTTGATAATTTCATAAAATAAATACAACATAATAATAATAATAATAATAATATGATATAAATATTTACTAAATAAAATTAAATATAAGCGGAAAATATAGAGATTATTTGATTTATATCTTTAAACTTAATGAAATACAATTACCAACAATATGTACATTTATACTATAAGTAATTTATGATTATTATTATTATTATTATTTGTCCCTTGAGTTCCTAATGGAACATACAGCTTTACTAGCACGTCTACAATGCGCTTTGTTCTGTGAAATCTTGTGAACCTGGCTTCACGACAGCCCACAAGTTCTCATCGTCGCTTGTCATCTGACCTTCCACTCGAGAGCCTGGTGTATGATGTCCATAGTCGGCCTTCTTAGTGTATGCACAATCAATCTCCACTTCCTTCCACTGCATATTTCTTGAGTGATAGGTTCTTGGTTGGTTCATTCTTACAGTTCCTTGTTATTATTATTATTATTATTAGTCCCTTGGGTTCCGAGTGGAACATAGGGCTTCAGTAGCACGCCTCCAGTGACCTCTGTTCTCTGAGATCTTTTGAACCTGGTTCCACGACAGCCCAGAAGCTCTCATTTCCTCCTCGCATGACCTCCTCCATGTCACCCTCGGACGTCCAACTCGTCGCTTCCCATAGGGATTCCACTCGAGGGCCTGACGCGTGATGTCCTCAGTCGGCCTTCTCAGTGCATGCCCAATCCATCTCCACTTCTTCCTGCATATTTGTTGCGTGATAGGTTCTTGGTACAGTTCCTTGTTGCTTATTCTTATTATTCTGGCTAGCTGATTTTCAGTAACTAGCCAGCATAGGCAGTTGTTGATGAATATCTGTAGTTTGTTCGAAATCCTTTTCGTAACACGCCAAGTCTCTGAACCATACAGAAGCACTGACTTGACGTTGGTGTTGAAAATCCGGATCTTGTTCCACATGCTCAGTGCAAAGGATTTCCACACTGGTTTCAACGCCTGTCTTGCTTTTCCGATTCTGACTTTGACATCCTCGTTTGTGCCACCGCCTGTAGTTGAAACAGTGCTTCCTAGATAGGTGAAGGAGGTTACTTCCTTTACGTTTCTCCCGTTGATAATGATTGGAGCTTGTTGTTGTTGGTTGGGCATCTTCCTCACCTCTGTCTTCTCTACGTTCACCCGAAAGGAGTCCTGTCTTCCTTCACTGCCTCGCCTCTCCTCTTCTGCCAACTTGTTGGTTTTCGCCTGTACATCATCAACTTTGTGCAACAAGACATTACACACAAGTCATCGGCGGCAAAATCCAAGTCCTCTAGGTTCTTTTCCCTGGTAAAGCTAGCGTATCCCCCTCTTCTCGCTCCTCACATTTTGTTGCATGATCCAGTTCAGTCGACCACAATCAGGAAGATCATGGGTGATAGATAGTAGGCAGCTTTGTTTTACTCGTCTTCACTTCAAAAGCATCATTGAGCTTCCCATTGTGAATTACTTCGCATGTGGCATCTTCATATAGATGCTGAATGAAACTGATAAAGGTTTGCGGTATTTTGTAGCGTTAAAGCAACTGCCTGCCAAATCACTTGTTAGTCAACCCTGTCGATGAAGTTGAGGTAGAGAGCTGATTGCCATTCTATGCTCTGTTCTATGATGATGCTCAGTGTAGCGTTGCAATTTGGTCTGCACATGATTTGTACTTCCTGAAGCCTGCCTGTTCCGGTCGCAGTTTAGAATCCAGTGCATCTTTAAGCCTCTCCAGGATGATGCGGCTTAATATTTTACTTGGGGTGGACAGGAGAGTGATTCCGCGCCAGTTCTTGCAAACACTGAGGTCTCCCTTCTTTGGCAGTTTGACAAGGTAACTCTTCTTCCAATCGCCAGGTACCTTCTCTTCCTTCCACACTGTAAGTAATAAGTTGCATTTATTGTATACCTGTCCGAATCTCCGTAGATGAAGAGGGAGGGGTTTCGAACCCTGGGACTTATTTCGTTAAACGTCAAATGCTACAACACATTGGTCTAGGTGTGATTCACCATCTACTATCCAACCGTGTATATCATCATGGCCAAGTACATTTATGTTAAGCTTAAATATGTAAATAAAGTGATTCTGCATTTTATCGAAAACAAAGTATAAGCCCATAACAATAATAACGATGAATGTAGACATATAGTAGACAATCATCAGTATAACTTCGAGTCGTTACTCACTTTTGCTGGTTATCATGACTTCAGTTTGTAATACGGTATAATCGAACTAACATATTTACATAACGATGATTAAATTAACCATTTGCATACATATTTAACCGAGAATTTCCACATCTATAGTCTGGAATACATGTATATCTCATTAATGAATACCAACAAGCTAGAAATCTCAGTCACAAAAGGTTTCCTACTAACTACCTCCAACTAGCTAACGAACTTGTATAAAGATAAATAGGTTCTAGAATCAATGAAGCGAGTTATTTGTTAATTTGAGAATTATTAGCCCACCGATTTATTTAATCAACATTGATATTGTAAAAAAAATAGTGCGGATATCCAAGTTAATCAACATTTGACTGCTGAGGTTCAAACAATTCAAAATCGTGATTTATCGGTCCGTCCAACATTCAACAAATCACTTCCAAGTTGGTATTCATCGTAGACTGACATCAGTTGAAGGAACAATGGAAACCTGGGAGCATTGGACAGTTGTCTTGTCCTCGAAATCCGATTGAACTGGTGCTCATTGGTGACTAGCTTCGAGAAGTGATTCCTGAAGTTCCAATGAGAAGTCGTGACCGGTGGGGGCAAAGCTTGATGGTCATGAGGACAGTTATCCAACGACGACAGTGGGTGGCGGTTGCGCTATATCGTGAGCTAACAGAAGTTAGAAATATGGACCACTGGATTCCGACCCAGAGGCTCAATGGCAACATGCTGGCCACGGAACCTGAAAATCTCAGGTTCGACCCCTGGCTAGGTCGTGGGTGTGCACTGCTGACGAGTCCCGTACTAGGATGAAGCGGCTGCCCGGTGCCCCAAGTTTTTCATTGTTCCTCCAACTGATGTCAGTCTATGGTCAACACTAACTTGAAATATTTCTAAATCCCCATAACCTCCCCTATATTTAAAAACACTTTCAACCCAATATATTTCCTGTAAAATAAGTGCTCATTCCGTATTCATCAACCATCAATCACATCACTAAAGACGGTAATCAAAAAACAGATAAATATTCACTTACAGAGAAACTGATTATGAAATTGTATCCTAATCGTTGTAACCTTATAAGAATGGTATTGCCACCAATAGCCTAAATTGTATAAATAATAAACGAAAAATGTCGTCTTCATGAATAATATCCCATATAAAAATCATATTCAAATAATTAATCGTGAACAAATTACCCATTCTCAGTGATACGCATTAACCACACTCGTAATAATTCACCTATAAAATGTACACTACTTATAAGTAATCGACATAACACTTTGAAAAATTATCAGTTATCTAGTAGGGCTCATATGCATGAAAACGTGTGCACAACAGGATGTATATTTCTACTAACGGAGGTCCCAAAGTCCAGAGTATCCGTCTTTACCTCTCTAGTAAGAACAAAATCATATCCTCAACCTCCTTTATCCCACCAAGGTTGGTCGAATCTCACACTCATCACACTACTAATATCATCCTTCCTCCCACAGCAGTTTAACGACTTCAACCGGGCATTTTTGCCTTAACTGCTTGTGTGGTTAGTAGACAATTGGCCACGTTCAGAAGTAAGTCGATAGATGCTTCTATATCATCCCCCTAGTCAGGGAAAAAACTATAAGCTTCATCGCTTCGAGTGTTCAACAGTGGCCGCTGGTGCAGGCAAGAAACAGACACTGAAACTCACAGGTTACAGTAAATGATTTCTAACTACTTATGCTGTTGAGCAGTGTGTTCTGATAAAATATACGGTTCCTAAGAACCTAAATCATTAACTTAGGATAACTGCATTGCTTTAGTACATATGTCGTTCATTCTGACAACATAAATGTGATTGTGAATACTGCGCCACTGCATGATTCGACGCATATATATTATCAAATATGATTTTCTATACGCAAGATAACAAACATTAAATACAAATAATCATATCTTCACTGATTGCAACCACTTTTTGAGTCTCCTTTTCTTACTGACTCTTCACTACATTTTCTTCCTTCATAGTTAAAAGGTTTTATACAGAACATAGTGATGTGTTTAGTTTCGATAACTAAACTAAATTAGTAACAGGAAAAGGAATCCAAGATTAGTATAAGTCAAACTTCACTTGTGATAAATCGATGATCAAAACGACTGCAATTTTTTCAACTTATCGCTACAAAGATTACGATTGGTTGTTATCATATTTACTTGGCTATGGATAATAGTTTACACCTCCTCTTATAACAAAAAATCTAATGTGAAAATTTTGTTCTTCCATTTACTCTGTCCAGTTAAACTGAACTTATATCAGTGTAGTAAGTCATTTTAATAACTGCAGATAGTATTAGAAGCTATTGAACAAATTTGAAATAGATGTTCGCTGAAAACAATGTATATGGTAGACAACAAAAAGATGCAATACTAATTTAACTACTATAACATTTGTAAGTAGTGTATGCGATATTTAAAAAAAACTTGAAACTGTATATAGATGAAGAAAAATTTCATTGTTTACCTTCACTTTGCCATCATTGACAAGCATTAAAAAGTTGATAAGATTACTTTCATCAAGTAATAATGAATTAGATGAATAATGATTCGATAAATATAAAAACAATTCACGAGTAACAGGATCTAAAACAATGAAATTAGGTGTAATTATCGATCCCATAGCTAAATCTTCTAAAGTTTCTAAATCATTAGTCCATGCAAGCTGAAAATATCTAAAATTGAACAAATAAGTATATTTTTGAAGTTATCTCGATGACTAAAACCAAATATACACAAAAACCAACATATAAATCTGGATTAAGATTCTTAAAAGTGAACGAAAGTTAACATTGAATTAAATACGCGAAGTTATTTCATAATAAATACTGTTGAATGACTTTTTTTTAAGACTCCTAGACTGATCTTCAGTCCTACTTTGTCTAACAATAGGAAGTGAAGTGGTTGAGTACGTTGACCACATCAATTACCTGGGAAGTCAGATAACCTCTCATGGGTCAGTAACCGACGAAATCTCTGAACCTATACAAAAAGCTCGATTGGCATCCACCAACCTACGTCATTTACAGCGTCTTCATGACATCCGATTGTTTATTAAACAACGAACTTACTGTGCTTCAGTTTGCTCTCTTCTACTCTATGGCTGTGAAAATTCACCATTAACGGTAGAGCACACGGAAAACCTTCAAATGTCCGACTACAGTTGACTTCGCAGCATAAACTTGTATCATACTATCGTCACATCAGTAATGCAGAATTCAAGTGTAGAGTTTGGTGGAGAAAAGGAAAGTCAGTTGATAAGATTGTGAACCTTCATCGACGGATACGGCTAGGACACATGTTACGCATGTCCATATACCGTCTGTCTTGTCGTACAATGCTAGCTGAAGGTTTAGGCTGGATATTTATAGTAGTGAAGATCAGAGTCTTGATAATCACTTCTCTAGTTTTCAGTTAATTAGGGGAGAGGGAGAAGTCACTAACTATACTGTAGACAGGGGGTGGTAAACAAAGCCATATTTGAATTGGAAACCCGTAAATTACAAATACGACAACAGATGTTAGTGAGCTGTGGGCCCACTGGTTTAGGGTGACGACTTAGAGCCAGTGAGTCACAGGGTTCGAACACTTTTCCTCCACATACCAAGGTTCGAACAATAAGTTGATAGTATCATTGGACCTGATACCATGGGCGTAGTTCATTGGCTACTGCATGAATGTACACACGGTTACTAGGTACATTTCTAAGCTAATCGAATGATTATAGGGAGAATACAACAAATCTATGAATACCACTTACCGTATTATATGTGATAAACGTTTAAGTGCCAAATTTTCTCCAAATTTTAACACTCTATATCATTTAACAAAAAATCAACAACATAATTTCATTTTAAAAAAACAAATGAAATATTTTAAAGTTATTAAAGAACTAAAAAATAATAATAATTTGGAAGTAGTGTTCATCATGGACTGATATCAGTTGGGGAATCATTGAAAATCTACGAGCACTGGACACCGGCTTCGTCCTAGTATGAGACTCCTCAGCAGTGCACACCCACCACCCGGATAGACATCGAAATCAGGACCTTCAGGTTTCATGGTGAACGCGTTAACCATTCAGCCACTGGGGTCGGTTTCCAGTTGTTCACAATTTCCAACTTCCGTCAATTCACGACATAGCGTGACGATCATCCAAGGTCTTCAGTTAGCATCTACTTCACTTCCGACTGGTTGACCCCACAGGTCAAGGCTTCTCATTAGAGCTTCGTGGTATCCATGTGGAAGCAAGTCAGTGTCTGAATGGTTAACGCGTTCGCCGTGAAAAACACTAATGGAATATGATTTCAGAAAATTTATGATCAAATTATATATCTGTCGACGAAATAAAGAATATGTACGACTCATAGGAAAACAAAATTGCATTGACTATCGTTCACACCAACTATAATGAAATGTAAACGCATTGATATGGAGAAGGAAAAAAATAAAGAAGGCTGATTTCATTTTACAATTAACACTAAACGGATTACTTAGGGCATTGACAATGATGAAACGTTTCACAACTAAGTGAACAGATCTTGGGAAGTTTTTCATTAAACCTTTCAAATAACAAGGTATGACTTGTCCACTGGAGTCAATTATCCTGCTTAACAAGGTAGCTAATCCAAATCTGATTTATCTACCATATACTATCACCTCTAAAAATATGAACAGTAAAGAAGCACCGATTGTTTGTACAACTGACCCACCCTGATCAAACCATCCCAGCAATAAAATAAGAATGTTCGAATAGAAAAAATATCAAAAACAGTTACAGAAAACGATGAAATCATCAGATTTTTAAACAAAGATGGTTTATTTGCTTTACCTGGATGGGAAACTATCTTCTGATACTTGATCTACAGTAAATAATCCAAGTAGACGATAATTTCGATATGAGTGTAATGGACTTGCATAAGAGATTGGATAAGTTGATTGAACTGAAATATTACTATTATCTTGATTATTGTTCAACAATTCATCTGAAGCGAATTGCCACCAATCAGAGCTGGATAATTTGGGGAAACTAGGCTGCCTTTCACGTAACACCCAAAGTAATAAATCTTGGTATAATTCTGATTTATTATTTGCAATTTGTAGATTTTCATCTAAATAATTGTTGGTTTAAATTGGAAAGTAATAAAATTCTTCAGACATTCACAATAGTTATTATGTATTTTTTAAAATATCCCAGTCTTCAAGGAAGGCGAGAAGTCCTCTTGTGATAACCATCGAGGAATCAGCCTGACGAACATAGTGTCCAAGATCCTAGGTTCTATAATTTTCCGGCGCCTGAGTGGAACTCAGGAACAAGAAGCCCGAGAAAACCAGGCAGGATTTAGAGCCAGCCGCCGATGTATCGACTAAATATTCACACTGCGCCAGGTCCTGGAACATAGGCACGATTACCAACGCCCGACAATAGTTGTATTTCTCGACCTGAAGGCGGCATTCGACTCCGCTTATCGAAAAGTCTTATGACAATGTCTCTCACTGAAAGGAGTACCGAGTAAGTATATCACCTCATTGAAGGCTCTCTACTCGAACACTTGTCGGCGTGTTAGAGCCTATGGTGACAAGATGCAGAGCCCTCTGAACACTTTGAGTGGGAATTTGAGAATATTTGGGATGCGGTTCTCACCAACCAAATGCAAATTATTGCTCCACGGTTGGTCTTCAACGGTGCCACGGCTAACAACAGAATATAGAGGTTGATTGTGCCGACCGATTCACTTACCTGAAAAGTACGATAAGCCCTGGTGGCTCAGTGGCCGACGAATTTTCTGCACGAATACAGAAGGCTCAGTTGGCTTTTGTCTACTTATGCCACCTATGGCACCGCCGTGATATCGGATTGTGTATTAAGGGTCGCGTGTACTCCACAACAGTCCGCTCTGTTCTACTCTATGGCTGTGAAACATGAGCACTGAAGGTGGAAGACATGCGAAAGTGTTTGACCACCGTTGCCTTCGTAGTATAGGCCGTATTCCGTGGTGTCACCATGTGAGTAACGCAGAAGTCAGGCTCAGGTGAAGACTTTTATGGAGAAGAGGTGAATTGGTTGACGAGGTTATGAACCTTGATTGACTGAGACGGTTGGCTGCAACACGTGTTGCGTATGCCTATTCTCTGATTTCCTTGTCACAGGGTGTTGGCCGAAGTAGATGCAGGCTGGAAAAAGGCTTGAGGTGGCCAGATTAAAACATGGTACTAATGTATGAAGTGGTTGACTGTTGGTTTTAGTGACGTTGGGCGATGCAGACTAGGTGGTTGGGATCCGCGGGAAAAGATGAACCAGTGGTTGGAGACTCTAGGTGATATGGCTCAGAACCGATGTCAGTGGGGCAGATGTATACATACATACATTATCATCATCTTAACACTACACCGATTCTCAACATTTTGTCAATCTTCCTTTCTTTCTCCTCGTACTTTATATTTCTTTTGACTGAATTTTCTTATCTTCATCTTTCACCTCAATACCTTTCTATTTGATGTACTAATTATGAGGTGTGGCAACTCGGAACGTTAAGCAGTAATCCCTGGTCCTATGTTGATATTGATGAGGATGATTCTTTAAAATGCCTAAAAAGTCAAGCCTTTTACTCCTAAAAGTATCAGTCACTAGCTGGCTAGTAAATCCCACAAGTACATACACTCACAATGACCCCTCTCACCCCTTCAACCAAGGAATAAAAAGATAAATATACTACTGAAACAAAATGAGTAGTTAGAAACCACCCATGTTGATCTGTAGATAGTCGAATAACCAGTTGGTGGGAGATATCTAACAAACAGGACTAATATTCATAAACTGCTGCTTAAGAGAAGAACAGAATATAAAGCTTTTCTGCTGCAGATCGACTAATAAAACTACGGACAAACATAAATCACCGATTTAGTTTGATATTCGTATGGATTTATTGATTTCAAGGGTGGATTCATCACCAACTGATATCAGTTGAAGAGCTATTAGAAAACTAGAAGCATCCTAGGATGGGACTCCTCAGTAGAACATACCGATAACCCTACGTGTGCGTCACTATTTAACCACTGGGTCGGAATCCAATGTTGCATATTTTTCTACTGTTTTCAATTCATGATACAGCGCGAACATCATTCAATGACATCAGTTGGCATCCATTTCATTCCCAACTTGTTGGGTCCCATAGATCGTGGCTTCTTATTATAACTTCGGAATATCTATCTCGAAACATGTCACTGGTGAGTACTAGACAGTGATTTACTTTGAGGTTCACGAGGACTTATTAATCCTTGGTAAGATCGTTGGTATGGACTGCTGAGGAGTCCCACACTAGAGTGAGGCAGATGTTCAGTGTTTCCAGGTTTTCAATGGGGCTGAAGAAATAAAATTTGTAAAAGTACGTGGAGAGATAGAGTATGCAATGTCTCCATCATGTAGTCAAAGGTCTGAAGACAATAAATAAGTCCCCAAAGGCCTCCAAACTGAATTACTGTCCTGTGATCATTAGTGACCAGCTTCAAGATAAGATTTCTTGAAGTTTTGATAAATAGTCATGACCCATGGGATAAACCAAGTCGGACATAAGAACAGGAATTCAACGATGACATTGGGAGGAGGTCGCGGTATATTGCAAACTGTAGAATTAAGAAAACGTAGGCAACTGGGTTCGATCCCCGACAGGGTAACAAGTGCGCACTGGTGAGTTCCATACTAGGGTGAAAAAGTTATCCAGTTTCCCCAAGTTTTCAGTGGTCCCCTAACTGATGTCAGTTCTTGATGTTTAACAACCAGAAATAAATGAATCGGATTGGTCACTTCAGCAGTTGATAATGTGGCCTTTAGAGCTGTCGTTGTTGTTCAACTAAGTGCGGCCTAAGGATGAAATGAAACATTTTCCCACTGATTATTGACATACTTGGAATTCGCCATTGTTTTATTGGATCGAATTGTTCGACCTCTATTGGCATATGGGCTCCTATGCGGGTGCCAATAGAGGTCAAACAATTCGATCCAATAAAACAACAGAGAATTACAAACATGTCAATAAATAGTAATAACTACTACCCGTTGTAGAAGTGGCTATCCTTCCTCTTTGACATAATGGATAACGCCTTGGCATTCAAAGCGATGGGTATGAGGTTTGAGTCTCATTCACTGAGGTGCAGATACATCCAGCTGATAAGTCCCAAGTAGGAAGAAACACGCGTCCTGGATTCTTCTACTGGCCACAACCAAACAAATTTTTCCCCTAAGTCATAACTTCCATTGGTTGACTAAATGATATACACCTGTACTGTATATTGTACTCTACAAGAAAATAGTTAAAAGTATACATAAGCCCACTAAACCACGCAAAAAAGACATAACAACTTCATGTATATTATAACATTAAATGTCCACTGAACTTACTTGATAATAAACCAGGATAAGAATAAATATTGGAATCTTTAAAAACTAGAATTTCTGTATAAATACTACTGGATGATTTCAGTAGTTCACTATAAGGCTAAAGAATTGAGAGAGAGAAAAAAACAGGGAAGAGAATAATACATATTTAAGTTAAGGTATCATATTAATTTGATGGGAATAATTCGGTTATATCAGCTGAATTCAGTGGATTATACAAACAGTGATGCTGATCATAGGTGAGTAAAACAATTTCTCAGTGTTTACATCTATGTTAATAACTTGTCTAACAATAGCAAATGAAGCAGCCCACTCAAGGCTATTCTACAGCTATGAAACATGGTCATTTAAGGTGAAGATGGACTAAGGCATGCACTGAGAAGACCATTCGAAGACATCACGCACCAGGCACTCGAATGGAACCCAGATGGGAAGTGACGAGTTGGGCGTCTTAGAGTGACATGGAAGAGATCCTGTGAGGAAGAAATGAGAGCTTGTGGGCAGTCGTGGAGCCAGGTTCAAAAGATTGCAGAGAACAGAGTGCACTGGAAACGTGCTACTGAAGCCTTAAGTTCCACTAGGAACCCAAGGGATAAATAATAATATAACAATATGAAAAGGACTCACGTGTTTAGTCACTGTCGATCGCATTTTATGAGGCCACCATATGAGTAACTAAAGTGGTTAGATATAGAGTTTTAGGCAGAAGTTGATTAAGCTATAAACTTTCATCTGCTGAACTAGTTGAGAAGTGGCAGCCTATACATATCGAGTTACTGTCTATTCCCACGTGCAATATTAGTTGAAGTAGTTTTGAGACAGGGACAAGGTTAACAGTGACCAAACGAAAGTATGCTATCATTCTGTGTAGTGACTGTAGGATTGCAGGTTGAAGTTCATCTTTCGAAAACCATGGTAAAATGGCACAGATGCATTCACGCTATATGGTCAAATTAACAGTTTAAAAAAAACATTACTCGCCTAATCCCTCCCCAACCTTTTCGTCATGCGACTTTCCACACCTTCTATTAGTACCATTCTCATTCCCCTACATTTTGTCTTCTTACCTATTATCTTAATGTCTTGATGATATCAAGTGTGGTGGATTGAACTGCTACTCGGTAATGGTAGATCCTATATTGACAGAGAGTCAAAATCAACGTAGAACCTCGCTCACAAGTGCGTCGGATCAAGTTGCCATACTTCAAAGAAGTATACAAAGAACAGATGGATAGAAAAATACCGACATCAAAGTGGACAAAGATGAGTGAGAGAATAAGCAATTTGAAAATAACGATTAGTGAGAATAATCAAGCTTTAGATGTCAGGGAGTAAAAATATCTTTGCCACTGTGACCAATTTTCAACTGTGTCACCAAGAATCCTCAAACACTGATTCCTTACGTCTTGGAGACCCCAACTATACAGTCTATATCGCCCCAAGCAACATGTATCAACAGTGAGAGTCTTTATCGACTGGTGTCACGTCTTAGGTCTGCTCACCCTAAAAGTTCTTCCAACCTAATTCAACTTCTCCTAGCATAGCACGTCGAGATAGGCGATGGCTCGGCGTGCGCAACTCATGTCCACACCATCTCAGTCGACTGAGGTTCACAACTTCATTAATCAATTTGCCTGAATGTCTTGTCAAATACCCTACACCTAACCTCAACATTGCTCACACAATGATTCAACCAAACGCAAGTAATGCTACGAAGACGTCTGCGATCAAAACCCTGTATAGTCGATCCTACTTTGAGCAGTCATCTCTCGCAGCCGTATAACAGGACAGAACGAACTGCAGAGTAGTATACCCACCCTTTAACAGGTAGTCGGATATCTATCTCTCCGGCCCTACAGATGATGCAGCTCTCTAAGTAAGTGAAGTGATCCACACAGTACTCCACTTCACTCCCTATGATTAAAGTGTGAGTGGTTGCACACCAGTCCTGGAGCATCATATCACATTTGACAGGTGCAGAATACATGAATTTTAATGGAAATGTAAAATGATATGAAAGAGGAAAGTTACATGTTAGCTGGATGGAGGTATTCCGCAGGAAGCCCTACTTGCCCGCGATGGAACTGATGTCCCGCTTGAGATTCGTACTCGCGTCACCCAGCAGTGCAGTCGGAGGTGTAACCACTGAGCTATTCAAACCGTGATTGACTTCTTGTAGGACTGGGTTACGTACATTGATTGGTTACTGGAGAGTAACCAACTTCGTGTACTCTAGTCCGAGGGGTCGCAGTCCTACAGGAGGTCAGTCACAGCCCAAATAGCTTAGTGATGATGTCTCCGACTGAAACACTGGGTGACCCAGGTTCGAATCCCAGGTTGGGCATCAGTTCCATCGACGCTGTAGATATGCCTCACTGACGAGTGCCAACAAGTACAAAACACAGGTCCAGGGCTTCCTGTCGATTACCTCATTTAACTAACACCTACCAAAGTGCATCGTGATGCTGAGCTGCCTAGTCTGGTGGCCACAATGCAAAATGATCGATATAATTCAATCAGCACTTAGAATCAGACTTCATGAAGTTGGTTACCCTTCAGTGATCAAACAATTAAAAAAAGTTACAGTAAATGTCTATTCCATGGCACATTATTTCAGTTGAAAAACATAATAACGAGAAACTCTGAGTCAGGTAACCACCACCAAGATTCCATGCAAAAGGTAAAAAAGCAACAAAACCGCTGATAAACACAAAAAGAAACACGATGAAAAGATGGCATATACGCCCTTAAAGAAGAGTAAATACATGCAAGCTGCCATCATTTCCTTTTCAACAGCAAGCAAGATAAAAATCGGTGAAAAGAAAATACGCGGAGATGTATCACAAGGAAGGAAATGAATAGACAGGGGAGAATCGGACAAACATGAGGAGGGTCATCCAGAAGAAAATGAATATCTAAGTGCTTCTTTATTGTCTTTCGATGAGATCTAGTTATAGCCATTTGATACATACAACTGAAGTACTGACGTTTCGAAAATCTCTTGAGTATCAATTAAGAAGACAAAACTTCCAAACATGACTTGCTGAATTTATTGATTAGTTTTCTGTTCATCTGGCCAACATGAGGTCTTCGATACAGAACTTTGAAATGATGCGGGAGATTTGTAGTTCTGATAGATACTCTTGGTTGTGTTACTGAGCTAGGATTAAGCAAAACATCAGAGTTTGTGGGGATTTAATGATTTTTCAAGTTGGTATTCATCATGGATTGATATCAGTTTAGAGGAACATTGGAAACCTGGAAGCACTGGTCGGTCGTTTCGTTCTAGTATGGGACTCCTCAGCAATGTGTACTCATGACCTCACTCGGCCAGGGATCGAACCCAGGACCTTCAAGTTCCATGATCACAGCACATTACCATTAACCGACTGTTTTATAACCCAACTGTCATAACAAATCGAAAGGCATAAATCAGCATATCGGACATATATTCTTCCAATGATTTCAATGTTTACGCCCAAATTATTCACAAATATTATACAGTAAGATTAGTAATGCATATAAATCCAATAAATTGAGTATTTATCTATCAAGGTGACTAGCCTACTGACTTGATACGTTTTGATTTCCACTCTTATAGTTAGTATAATAATCAACCTCTATGATATTTAATACAAGTGATGTTATTTGATTTAGGCGTATTCAACTATCTCTGTCATAGCAACGATATATGGGTACAAGTGAAATCGTTTCCTTTTCATCCAATCATGGGCTTGTTTTATTTTTATTATTACTATCAACGCAGTTTATTGTTCATTCATAATCGAACTTCTACAAACTTAAACTAAGCTTATTACAGGGTGAGGCTAAAAATCATCCCCAGGTGTTATTCATGCTCAACCATAAGATTATAGGGATCTTGCCTATTTACATTAAATTTTGAGGGGGTTGTGGAGATTTGGAAATATTTCAAGTTGTTATTCATCGAAGACTGACATAAGTTGGAGGAACAAAGGAAACCTAAGAGCACTGGACAGCTGTTTCGTCCTAGTATGGGACTCCTCAGCAGTGCGCACCCACGACCCCACCAGCAGGGGTCGAACCCGCGACCAGCGCGTTACCATTGAGCCACTGGGTCAGAATCCAATGCTCCATATTTCCAACTTCTGTTAGCTCACGATATAGCGCGAACCGCCACCTAATGTCATCGTTGAGTATTTGTCCTCACGGCCATCAGCCTTGACTCCACCGGTCACGACTTGTCACTGGAACTTCGGGAATACTTCTCGAAGCTAGTCACCAACGGAAATCTGACCCAGTGGCTCAATGGTAACGCGCTGGTCGCGGAACCTGAAGGTCGCGGGTTCGACCCCGACTGGTAGGGTCGTGGGTGCGCACTGCTGAGGAGTCCCATACTAGGACGAAACAGCTGTCCAGTGCTCCCAGGTTTCCTTTGTTCCTCCAACTGATGTCAGTCTTCGATGAATAACAACTTGAAATATTTCCAAATCTCCACAACCCCTCAAAATTTAATTGAACTAGTGCTCGTTGGTGACTAGCTTCGAGAAGTATTCCCGAAGTTCCAGTGACAAGTCGTGACCGGTGGAGTCAAGGCTGATGGCCGTGAGGACAAATACTCAGCGATGACATTAGGTGGCGGTTTGCGCTATATCGTGAGCTAACAGAAGTTGGAAATATGGAGCATTGGATTCTGACACAGTGGCTCAATGGTAACGCCCTGGCCGCGGAACCTGAAGGTCACGGGTTCGGTCCCTGCTGGTGGGGTCGTGGGTGCGCACTGCTGAGGAGTCCCGTACTAGGACGAAACAGCTGTCCAGTGCTCCCAGGTTTCCTTTGTTCCTCCAACTGATGTCAGTCTATTTACATTAGTTTTTACAATGTGGTCTTTCATTGAATGTTTCATACCGTTTATTCAAGTGCGAATTATTGGTTACACTTCCACTTCTCAGGCGGAAAGTAAGTATACTTATTCAAGATAAGTGATACTCACAGATCACAGTGAGTTAAGTTGGTTGAAGCTTCAAATTACATTTTGAAAAAAGATTTATGATTGCAATTTCGCACCTGAGAATATATGCATACCGAACATAGAAGGCCTACAATACCTGGGGATAACTT